GAGAACGTGCTACGATTGGTCAGCGAAGAGTGGCTGTTATCTGATTAGCTTGAGTAGACGGTGGGTGGAGTCCACGCATTTCTGGATTGGTGTGTGTCTCGACGCTAGAAATGTTTCAAAATCCACAAATGCACAGCGAGTGATTCTCAAATGAATGCCAGGCAAAGTTGTGTTTGTGACTTAAAAAAATATATGTGAATGTTTTTTATTTGCAAATTGCATTTTATTTATTTTTGAATTTATTTCATGTTTGTGAAACGCTAAGATTTACTTGTGGCTCTCATTCTATTTATTCGTCAATATGTTTAATTTTTGTTAATCTCTTTACATTTATTTGTGGATCATAATCTATTTATTTGGAATAAAGCAACAATTCTACCCCCATATTGCTCTGCACTGTTGTATAAAATTAATGGCACATTTGTGCTCACGCACATGTGCTAATATTCAGAAAAGTACATTGCTTGTGCAATGAATATAAAAACAAAAACTCATATATGGGTATTTTTTCTTTCATTGCTTGAGTTATAAGGGCATTCTAACTGCATTCTAATAGGCTTCATCGCACAGTGAAGGCTTTTGGACTCAATACTTTTTTGCAAAGTCAGTGACATAAGTCTCGATAATGCTAGCTCTCCTATTGTCTCTTAGTCCCTCACAGTCACACATATAGCACAATAACATTATTTCAGGGTAATGTCTTTTAAATTTTAATGTCTTAAAATGGTTATTTGTTTAATGTTGGGAATTACCCCTGCATATTAAAGGGGTCCTATTATGCTCTTTTACAAGTCTTGATTTTGTTTTGGGGGTGTACTAGAACAGGCTGTCATACTAGGTTGTTCGAAAAACACATTATTTTTCACATATTTTACATTATTACAACACCTCTCTCCCCAGTCTGGCATGAACGGCTCGAATAGGCCCTGTATCAAATGAAAGCCCGCCTTCTGAAATACGAAATGTGCTGTGATTGCTTAGCTGGGTCAGTGTGTGTTGTAATTGGCACCACTCGGCACCTGGTTGGGAAATGTTATGCCCCTTACCATAGGGGTGTGACCTTCAGTGTAAATATTGCGTCAATATCAAATCAATTTGAGCGCGATTTAAACCCGGATGATTGTAACCACTCTTAAGTTCGTCTGCCTTGGGAAAGCTAGCATCTCCGACATAGTGATAACACTCGTTGGCTTCTCTAGTGGAGCTCAACCAGGTCTCGTCCCATTCGTCGATATTTGTGATATCACAAATCCCGGAAAATATGCGTTGTAGTCTTAACAATTCAGTCGTTGTAGTTTTTGAAAAGTGATTTCTGTTAAATAAAATCTCCTTTTGACTTTGAACTTTGCAGATCTTTTTTATGCTCAAACAGCAACATTACAGACTAACTAAAGTTGAAAAATTGAAAAAGCATAGTAGGACCCCTTTAAAAAGTTATATATCATATACATTACAGTAGCAAACAAGATGAACATCAGATAGATGAGATCCTCGCCATGTATTACAGATGACAAAGTGCTCACGAAATCTAAATAAAGTTTTATACTTTGTATTTGCATATACCATAAAGCCATTCAGGTTTTTTTTTTTTCATTGAAAAACAAACAAGCGACAACAAAAATTAATACCATTAAAGAACTGGACTGATGTGCAGTGTCATAAGAATAGTAATACCACTATAGCCTTGTAGTGATACCCATGCCTACTTGAGATCCATCTCATTGGTTTTCATTTTTACTTTCAGAAATGTATTACTTTTGCTAGGAGTAATTATTGATTGAATGTACCTTTTTATTAATATTATTTTTACTTTTTAGATTTTATCAATAACATTTATAGTCTGCTGATTGTATTTGCTTTAGGAACATTTTGTTTGCTTTTTGGGCTTTCTGTTTTTGCCATTGAATTGAATTGAATTGAAAGCCTTTATTGTCATTGTATTATTCTGCATACAATAAAATTAGGTGTTTGAAAACAAACATTATAACCACAGACAATAAATAAGGCTATAGACTGTACAGTACAATTATAAAAGAATGTACAAATATAGCTACAGAGGCAAAATGAGGAGCTAAGAATGGCATGGAGCATCAGACCAACTCTAGCAATGAGTAATTTAAACCATTTAAAGATGATTTTAGTCAAAATGGCTGAAAAAGCATAAAAACAACCACTAGTAATATGATTTATTAGCTTATCACTTTTGACCATAGACTGTAAAAAAAAAAAAAAAAAAAAAATGGACGACGTGTCTCCTATTCCCTCCACTATAGAAAAGTGAAGCCAAAGCATCTCAGTATGGCCGCTGCCATCTTGAGTAAATGACATCATTTGGAGCCAGAATCTGCGCAGTAAAGACTTGTTTGGAGCCAGAGTCTGCGCAGTAGTGTCGTGAGGTGGAGCCGCAGTATCAAACTCCCGCAGACCCAATCAACCATAACGACACGCCCCATTTTTATAGCATCAAATTACTAGCTAAAATCAAACTTATCATAAAAACGAACAATTGAACATATATCAGCGTGATAATTACCTTAAATGACCAAAACCATCTTTCGGAAAATTGTATTGGAAGTGTAATTAATTTTTTTATTTTGACTCAAGTCCCATTTATTTACATGGAGAGGTCGGGGTTTATGACCTGTACTGCAGCCAGCAACCAGGGGACGATCAAAGAGCCCTCAGCTTCACTTTTCAGGACGTATGAGGCACACCCGCTTTTGACCAGTGGCGCTGTTATCAAATATATTTGGTGTGTTCTGTGCATGGTGACACACAAAGTTTGGTGTCAATTAGGGCTGTCGTGGTGAGGGAATTACCCTTGCGGTAATTTTGAGTGACTCAATAGTGCGATATGCTGTATATGCAGATATATATATATATATATATATATATATATATATATATATTGTATATAAGAGATGC